TGCCTTAAGTTTATATAACAACAGATCCACTGAATTTACCTTGAAGATGCGGCTTCATACGGTTGTATTCTGAGGAAAAGATTCAAGCGACCTAAGCCCGAAACATCAAGTTGTCTCCGCACTCACAGTATTCACTTCCTGTTTAGCCTTTCACAATAAAACCGGATACAACAAAACAGATTGTACCCTGCAGTAATCCGTGCGATTACTAATCTGTGCCCTCAGTTTCTGCAATCAGTGCGCACAGATTGTGTCGACAGGTTGGACGCATGGTACGTGTGGTACAATCTGTTTTGTTGTACACCCAAAGCAGAGTCATGACCAACGGAATCGTCTCATCCATCTGATTCTAAAGGCTGAGTTATGGTCGCGCTCTGGAGCGTGCACCCTCACCAGCAGTGGAGGTGTTTCATACTTGATGTTTACGTTGTAGATTTCTCCAAAATGACACGTGGAAGTACACTTTACAACTTGTGAAAATGCTGTAAGTAGGAGAGCAAAAGCTGGACAGACAAACAGACTGCACACAAAGGCTGCGGCGCGCGTTGTGTTTGTGGAGACTCTCCAACATCACATCACGTCATGTGAACTCTACTGAGACGCAGAGACTCGTTTCTTCATATCAGCTATGAAATAAACTAAGATCTATGTTCTACCAAACATTTAAGTTCCTCTGTGTTCACAGTAATTATGGTAATAAACTCGTGCGCAAAGTTAATATTTTCAGACTCAGAACAGATGGATGAGCCGGTTGCGCAACACAGTAGCGTGCGCACACACACCTACACACACCGACACACAATCACTCGTTCTTTGCGTGATGAACATATTTTACTCCTATTCTTACTTAGGATTTTTTTCACACTCACATTATATTAAATTCATTATTTTTATGACATTGGAAATCATTTCTGATCGCACAGGGATCAAACGTGTCCTTCACACATGCAGGAAGTAATTTGTATCTGTTTAACATATGTAAATGAAGGCTTGTCAGGGGAGGAGTCTTACCTGCTCTCAGTTCCACGTTAATTGTGATGTTCAAAAGAAATGTGCGTGGATTCAGGCGTACGCAGTTTGATACATCTGGATTTTTTTGTGCGTACGCCGTTTTCTGGATTTGACCGTACGTCACGTTTCAGTAAGAAACTCTACAGTAAGCAAGTCTTTGTACATGAGGCCCCAGGAGATCACCAAGCCAATCTGTAGAAATCCAGTGATCAGAATCCAAAGATATATCCAGAACAGAGCAGAACAGAGGTCCCACCTTTCCTCCCATGGAAGAAAACTTTGTTCCAAAAATTTATTAAGAGACCAGCTAATCAAATCCATAAAAATAAATCCATAATTTTCGTTTTTGGATTAAAAACGTAGAGGAGGCTCCGAGCAGCAAAACAGGGAAGAAAAGGGAGGGCAGGATAGAGGGACAAAGTGACTTACTCCTCCGAGAGCAGAAAAAAAAATCCAGGGTAATGACAGCATACCACCAAGAAGGACAAACCACATCCAACAGGATTAACTGTGGACGCAAGAGGAAGCTGTCTGAAAGGGACGTTATGGTCTAAAACCAGGATTTTCAGTTTCGTTGTCTAACTCCTGTAGTTCATGTTGATGCTGAATGCCTCAAAATGGGATTTGAGGCAGATGTAACAAAATCTGCAACAGTTTTGGTGACAATAGCTTCATTTGCTCCTATAGGTCCACTGTTGCACATGACTGAGGGTCATTGTGACTTTCCTCCTTGGGAACAGCTCCGATCATCATTTGCAATGCTGCTGTCAGATATAAGTCTGTTCAGTTCTTTGCTCAGATACCACAGATTTCTGTCTAACGTCTCGCTGGTGGCCTTGGCAGTGACAGAATCAGAACTCAAAATCTCACTCGCATGGCACAAAAACAGGTTGAGCAGCAATCTTATGAAATTTCACCCCATTTGTTTTTTTCCCCAAATGGAACAAAAAATGAAGAAGCACCTCGGAAAAGTAGAAGTTTGTATTTTGGTACCACCTTAATTAGCATCCAGGATGGTTAAAACAACAAGCAGCTGAATATAACGTGAGCAGAAAGAAGAAAAATCTTATGTCTGACCCTTATTTAAAACAATAGTTGATCACATAGGGTTCTGTATGTTGTATTAATGATTAAATGCAGCAAAATAAACTATTTCAAAGGTAACACTTGGTCATAAAACTTGGTTTATTTATATAATGACTAACTGCTGGATGTTGGGCCCCTCAGCTGTTGGCCTGCAGTTAACTGTGGCCCCCGGAGCAGTTTGATTGACTAGCCCTGCCTTAAAACCTTCAGATAGATTGAACAGGTGGTCACTGCACCGGTGACTGGATCATGGATGGCAGGTGGGTTTTTGTTTTTTACTGTAGGGTTATGAGACCAGGCTGAATTGATCATCATCGCTCTGTCAACAGATCGTTAACAGTTTTAACAGCTGAGAGCTCCTCTGAGAACATGTGATTAAAGCTGTCCACTCTTTGTTATAAATTAGACTGAGGTGCTCCCTGTGACCTCAGGGCGGAGCTGGACCTCCGTCAGGGAGGAGGTTTCAATTAGACATTTATTTACAGATCAAAGCTCCTGATAAATAAAGTTAAAATATTACCTTTTAGCTAAAACTACCATGGTTGATATCTTCATCTTGTTGTTCACTCTTTAAATGTAAGAAACTCTGAATCAAAATAAAATAATTGGTTTTATATAAATGTTCAAGACTTGTGAAAGGCTGAATGACTGAAATCATAAAACCTGCTTTGAGACGTTTCTAAAACAAATGTATTTAATATGTTGTGTGCTGCAGTGTTTCCTGACTCTCCCACTAGGGGGCGCGGTGTGTTAGTAAACACCTGTATGATAAAAATCACTGTGTTTCTCTGAAGATGAACAGTCTGGATGTTTCAGTTCTCTTGTCTCTGCTGTTGCAGTTCCCTCACAGCTGTCACCACAGCAGCATCAGGATACAGCTACTGGCACTACGGCCGCAAGACGGTGCAGCTCCTGAACACCAGGTCTCCATGAGAACCACACCTGGACATGGACACAAACCAGACCCGGACCAGGAACCAGCTCCAGCAGAGATGCTTCTCAGCTGCTGCAAACCGAGGGCTGACAGACAGACGGACGTGTGGACGGTCGCCAGGAGCTTTGAAGACGAGTAGCTGTGACAAGCGTTTCTGGGTCGCCATGGCGACGGCACCCAGAAACAAGCGAAGCCACAGATGGTTCGCTGCAGACTCCGGTGGACCAGCAGCTCTGCTGTGGGTCTGGTCCAGAGCTGTGTGCTCAGATACAAACACCAACATAAATAGAGCGTCTGCCCAGGGTTCAACCAACAGGACAACATCCACACAATGATGTCATCATGTCTGTTTGTAAGCCACACATTTCTGATTAAAAATACTAAATCTGCTTTGGTTTGTGTGTTGGTGAGAGAAGGATTTTATCCTTCAAAGCATCATGTTTGTTCTGATGAGACATCAGTCTGACAGCTGATCCCTCTGCAGCCAAACGTCAGGATTAAGATCACTTTAACACTTCTGTGCTCCTAGTTTTTTAAGTTGAAGACCCGTAATGTTGTTTAAATAAAACATTATAGTTTAAATAAATTACAGTATTGAAACTGTAAAGTCAAAGTTTATTTACATAACATTTACAACAGTCTCAGCTGACCAAAGTGCTTCACAACAATCACATGTAGCTAAGAACAAAAAAATTACATTTAAAATAAAAACAACATTTAGTAAAAACGATGAAAACAATAATAAAGTTGGCAGAAAAATACCAAAAAATAATATAAATAAAAGCTAAGACGTACTTAATTTCAGTTGCAGCAAAGTACTAATTTTTTCTTTATGTATTTATTTAAAGTTCTCAGTTCTAGATTTAAAATGACAACAGCTGTAAATATGAAACAATCCTTCAAAGACCTCACATCTTTCAGGATAAAATCTAGGCCTTTCCAAACCTTTCCAAACCTTTCCAGGAGATTCCAGAAGTTCATGAAGCAGAGAGAAGAGCAGGGGTCCTTGAACAATCAAAACATCCTGGTTTGACCTTCAGTCCATCCAGTCTCTACAACAGTGTGTTTGGTTCACACTGCCAGCAGTTAGTCAGACCCACTCAGGGTGGTAGTTGAACTCCAGGACTGCTCGTCACAGCTTCTGTTCCTAACTTATGGACAGAATTTCTGGGTGGAGCGAGTCCAGTTCAGTGGTCTCAGGATTCATCTCTGTGGTCTCAGGATTCATCTCTGCTGTTTGCAGATGATGTGGTTCTGTTGGTGTCGTTGCACTTTCAGCTCTCAGTGGAGAGGTTCACAGCAGGGATGAGGATCAGTCCATGGTCCTCAGTCAGAAAAGGCTGGATTGATCTCTCCAGGTTCAAGTTTGTTGGAGTTTTGTTGACAGTGAGGGAAGAATGGACTTAAGACTGACAGAAGGATGGGTGCAGCTTCTGCAGTGTTGTGGACTCTGTACTGGTCTGTGGTGGTTCAGAGGGAGCTGAGCTGTAAGGTGCAGCTCTGTTTAATAATTGGTCCATGTTCCTACCTTCACCCATGCTCATAAACTTTGTGCAGTGACAGAACAAGATCACAGGAAAAAAGTGGTCAAGATAAGTTTCCTCTGCAGGACAGCTGGCCTCTCTTAGAAGCTCAGTTCTCCAGAGAGACTCAGAGTAGAGCTGCTGCTCCTCCACATCCAGAGGAGCCAGATGAGGTGGTTCATCTGGTGAGGATGCCTCCTGGACGCCTCCGTATAGAGAGGTCTAGAGCAGGGGTCACCAATAGGCAGAACTGGTCCAGATCCGGACTGGAATGGCTTCTCATGCGGACCCATACCTAATGCCAAAACAGAGATCACCACTTAAAACTTGAATGAGCACATGTAATGCTGCATTCAGATCTAACGAGATCTGAGTGTCAGAGGCATTGTGTTTACATACAAAGTCTGAGGTCGGGCATTGAGAAGTGTTGCTGTGCGTTTTGAAGCATTGGATGCACGTATAACGCATCTAAAGAGGCAGACACTTGAGGTGGAAAATCTGAAATTAAGCAGCTAGATATGGAGTGTCAGCCACATCTAGCCATGTGTGACGTAGTGGCCCATTTTCTGATGGGATAATCTCCTGAATGAGGCCCACTAACCTGAGACAGATGGACAGGAGCTCTCCAGCTGAAATCAAGCACCTGTAGTTGATGTCCTGGCAGGAGATATGGGCATCGATGGGGGTCAGCAACCCAGTCAAACTGTGCTCAGGACAAAACAATGTGCTGAATGCAACACTCATCAGCACAAAGCTCCTGGAGCGGTGAAACTCACCAAACTCAGAACTCCTCTGAATTATCTGGTGAATCCAAGGTGCCCAACGACAACGTCCTCTGGCTGTCAGTAAATAAAGCCATGCCACTCTCTCAGTCTGTCATTGTACAGAGACAGTAAAGAAGGCTCCTCTCAATGTGCGTCTTGATGTGCAAATAGAGCGATTTTGACGAGCGTCTGACCTCAAAGTGCACAAGCGTCCAACTTGAGTCATTGGACACATTTTTGATGTGCAAAATGTGTTCGGTCTGAACGCAGCATAAACCAGTTACATGCACAGGTTTTGCAGTCTTTACAGTAGTGGTCCAGTGTTGGAGACAGAGAAAGGATGGAGAAGGGGAGAGGAACTAGAGAGTTAACAGACACAAATACAAAACAAAAAATACAGAAAAAAAACAAATAGTGGCATAAAAAAAGGACAGCAAAAATAGAGCATTTAATCCAGGATGGACGGAGTAATTTTTCTTTATACTTCCCACTGGAACTAAACCGGTGTGTCTTACATGTTCAGAAACGTGACACTTAATCAAAGTGGCAATGTTTAACACCATTATAAAACTAAGTATAAAAGTTTTAAACAAAGTTTTGAACAAATGTACCAAATCAACAGACACAGTTGTCATGTATTGTTTAGTTTCTTATTTTGACATGTTCATTATACTTTTATTCAGTAAGAGAACATAAAACATCAGACTTTTGAATTTCATGTTCATCTTTTTGTTACGTGACATAAATATTGAAAAACTTATTTGAATTAGACTGAATTCATTAAAATTTATCTGCAAGTCAGTTTGTGCAGATGTTGATACAACTACTAAGCAACTTAAATATACATAACTCTAAATAGTGGGACATTATAATCATATGGACCTTGGTCTTAAGAAATTTTCTCTGATTGGACCCGTTTAAATTTTAATTGAATACCCCTGGTCTAGAGGGAGGTTTTCCAGATACAGCGGGTAAAATAAGTATTGAACACGTCACCATTTTTCTCAGTAAATATATTACTAGAGGTGCTAATGACATGAAATTTTCACCAGATGTTGGTAACAACCCAAGTGATCCATACATACAAAGAAATCAAACCATAAATGTCCAGAAATGAAGTTATTTGTAATAAGTTTGAAGTCCGTGCTGTCCAATCCAGGTCACTGTTTTTTGCAGAAGCCCTGTGAAAGCATCACAGCTTTGCCG